GAAACTCCGTCTCAAAAAAAAAAAAAAAAAAAACTGAAGTGGTTTCAGTTGCTCTCAGACTTCCTTTTCATTCTCTCATCAGATTCTTTGCATCTCCCTCTATGCAGCAGTAATAAAGAACTGCAGCCAGGCGTGGTGGCTCAAGCCTGTAATCCCAGCACTTTGGGAGGCCGAGGGGGGTGGATCACGAGGTCAAGAGATACAGACCATCCTGGTCAACATGGTGAAACCCCGTCTCTACTAAAAATACAAAACATTAGCTGGGCATGGTGGCGCATGCCTGTAATCCCAGCTACTTGGGAGGATGAGGCAGAATTGCTTGAACCTGGTGAGCTGAGATCACGCCACTGCACTCCAGCTCTGGCCGACAGAGCAACAGAATAATAGCAATTCACATGTACTGAGTGCTTAGTATGTATCAGACATTATGCCAGACTAACCTCATCTAATCCCCAGCAGCCCTTCATGAGGCGGCTGGCATTATTAGTCTCATTATGGGTGAGGAAACAGGCTCAGGTTATATGACTTCCCAAGGCCATCCTCGTCACAAAGCCACTAGGAGGACTTGAAATTGGCCCACAGTGTAGCGTGTCTAGAGTCCAAGGTTATGCTGTTATGCTGCTCTCCATATTAAACCTGTTCCCTGCTGCTACATGACACCTGATATCAGGCTCCTGCAGACAAACCTGTTCTCTAAGATCTAAACAAAATCATCAGCCACTCACCTTGGCCAACAAGAGGCTGAGTGTCTCGAGCAGAGCCGCCTTCACATTCCAGCTGAACCTGTCCCCCAGGATGCGGATCAGAGGGCCAGTGATGCTGACCACAGAGGGCCTCAGGGCATCAGCCGAGGTCAGGCGGATCACCAAGCCTAAGGCTTTGGCTGCCTCCTCTTTCTGCTCAGGGCTGCCGGTCAGGACTCCTTCCCGCAACACTGGAAGGATGGAGGTCACTCCCTGACAAGAAAATCACACCTGAGAGTCAAATTTCAAATGGCATGGACCCCACTGTCTCCCATGCAAGCAAGGTCCTTCTGACAGCTGTCTTCCCATCAACTCCATGGGAGATACTGATTCAGGCTGAATCTCAGGATCACAGCCTGAGAGGGTGCTGGCTATGGAACCGTCTTGACAGAGACAAGATGGCAAGGGCCCCAACAGGCCTATCACACAGAGGGAACACGTACTGTGGCCCACTCACTCTGGCCAAGGCGACCTGCAGAGCTTAGACCAAAGACAGCATGAACCCTGTCCCCATCTGGCTACCACAGAAGAAAACATGCTGTCTGTGAAGCTGCTGAACAACACCCACGGCTGCTGCTCCAGCTGCCCTATTGCAGACCTGGGACGGGGCACAGGGGTGAGGGCCAGGAGGTTACAGCAGACTGCATGCACACAGCCCCCTGCACGAGGCCCTGGCTTACCTTCTTTGGGAGGCAGAACCCTGGCACATGCTCGCCTTTGCTCTCATTCCCTATGAGCCGGATTTCCTTGTGCAGCTCTTCAATGAGTGCCAACTGGTTGCCAGCATCCAGCTTCTGCAGGAATCCAGAAAAAAACGAGAGGATATACAGCCCTTTCAAGACTGCTTCCAAAGAGTACATGGGGAAGGCGTGGGCGGGAGTATAAACAAGAGCTGCCACGAGTGGGTAAACGCCGAAGCTTAGTGACAGGTATGTGGGGGATTCTTATAAGTCTATTCTTGTAAATGCCTGGAATTTTCTATAAGCAAAAGTTGGCTGTGGGGTCAGCAGTCCCCTCACCTTAGTGATGGCATTCAGGGCATCCCAGCTCTCCTCCAGAACCACAGGGCTGGAGTCATTGAAGAGGCGGATCAGGCCCGAGACCAGGCTCCGCAGGTGGCTGGTATAGTCAGCCTTGGAGCGGGAACAGTAGATGTTGAGAATGATGGCAGCAGCCTGCCTCATGCCCACCTCGGGGCTACGGGTGGCTTCCAGCAGATCCTCAATGATAATCCGGTGCCCTGTGTCATCCTCTACGGAGAGGATCACAGCCTGACAATTGGCCATCTCCTGCAAACCACAAGGGACCTGTGTGCTGAGCATGGATGCTGTGGGCAGACAGGGCCTGAGAAAGCAATGGGAGCAGGCTCGTCCCTTACCAGCTGCTCATCTGGGGTCCCAAGCTTCTCTTTCAGGGCCAGCATGACTGCTGGGAGGATCACACCAAGATGACGGGTGAGGGCATCACCAGCCACTGATGAAAGGAAAGCCAGCACCCGGGTGTTGACAGGTGGCGTTGTCAGCTGGTGGAATGAGGAACATTAACTCAGTGAATGCTGTGACCTGCTCCACGCCAGGTGCTGGGCAAGGCTCTGGGAACAGAAGGGTGGGCAAGAGAGCCCAAGCCCACTGCTCAGAGCCAAGCATCTACTCCAGCATATCTCGGAGGACAACGGGGAAGGGTGTCCTGCTTACACTGCACCCTCCTCCCCTGGCCCCCCAACATCTACCTTCAGAACTGGTCTTCACTGCAGGCCCTGGAATTTCAATGTTCTGGAGCCAGAGGGTGTTGACATGTTGGGATTTACCTTGGGCACAAGGTAGGGCAGCACCACACGACTCTTAATAGCCATGACTTGCTTCAGACCATCCAAGGCAAACTCTGACACCTCCTCATCATCCTGCAGAGGGTATCGAGGACAACGCTGAGAGATCTGCATCTCTGCTGTCTGAACCAGCCACTGACAACTTCCTTCTCCACCTGTTTCCCTCCCGCCTGTTGCACCCACATTTCCTTACTGTCAAAGGAGAAGTACAAAGCCAAATCTGATCTTGCTGCACCCACTCCCTCTGGCGGGCCCACATTCCGACTGCCTCGGCAGAATAATCGCCCTGCATTTTGCTTCTACAAAGACAGCAAAAGCCAAACTGGTAGATGTGTGGTGGATCCGCTCACCAGCTGCTTTAGTAAAAACGGGAGAATGTCCTCCAGAGCCTGGTGGCCGATGGTAGAATGCAGCTGCTCAAAGGTCTTGGCTGCCGCCTCCCTGACCTCCTCCAGCGGGTCACACAAAGCCTTCCTTGCTGTAGGCACGAGGGATTCAGAGAAATACAACACCTGCAATGGCAAGGAACAACTGTACCACATGCGGGAAAGGCAAAGAAGGTGCAGAAGCAGACAAGAAGCATAGGCAGGGAACTCTGACCCAGCTAGGCCACCCTAACTCTCTGCCTGACTTTTAACTTTTTACTGTGAAATACAAAAAAGGAAAGAGGGGGCCAGGCATGGTGGCTCACGCCTGTAATCCCAGCACTTTGGGAGGCCATGGTAGGAGGATGACTTAAGGCCAGGAGTTTGAGACCAGCCTGGTGAACATGGTGAAACCCCATCTCTACTAAACATATAAAAATTAGCTGGGTATGGCGGTGCACACCTATAATCCCAGCTACTTAAGAGGCTGAGACCCAAGAATCACTTGAACCCAGGAAGCAGAGGCTGCAGTGACTCGAGATGGTGCCACTGTACTCCAGCCTGGGCGGCAAAGTGAGACTGTCTAAAAATTAAAATTAAAACATTAAAAAGCAGAGAGGGGCTGGGCACAGTGGCTCACACCTGTATTCCCAACACTTTGGGAGGTGCAGGCAAGAGGATCACTTGAGGCCAGGAGTTTGAGACCAGCCTGGGCAATACAGTGAGACCTCATCTCTACTAAAAATGCAAAAATTTGCCAGGTGTGGTGGTGCACACCTACAGTCCCAGCTACTCAGAAGCCCATAGTGGGAGGATCACTTGAGCCCAGGAGGTCAAGGTTAAAGTGAGCTATGATTGCACCACTGCTCTCCAGCCTGGGAATGATACACCTCCATGTAGCCTTCACTGAGACCTAGTAATTAACAGCTTGAATTTTTTAGGTGAATTCTCAACATACCTCCCATCTTCTTTAAGAACTACAAACTCCTTCCCATGGCATCTGGGCCCCTCTCTCCCTGGACTCATTCTTTTGCTTATTCTCTTGGAAAACTCCAAGTCATTCTTCGAGTCTCAATCCAGACTTCGTGCTCTATACAACGGAGCCAATAAAGGCTCTGCTCCCTCGGTACCACTCCCACCACAGCAAAGCCCACTCTGCATTCTCCTGACTGGTTGGCATGTAGGCCTCACCACTGGACTGTGGGCACTCAGCAGGCAAGAACTCAGCCTCTGTGGAACTCTAACTCTCCAATGAATCACAGCTCTTTTTGGTGACAGGATTTTTGATTCCTTGCCAAATGTAAATTTCAAAAACCAAATGTAAGACATGTATCAATACAGGAGAAGAGGGGTCGGGTATCCTAGGGATTCAGACTAGGATGCCCAAGCCAGGCAACTGACTACTTGCTTACATTTCTAGCAGGCCATCCACTTAACTGCTTTGGCATTTTCATCCAAACATGAAGGTAGTGCCTATAAGCATTCTTAACCTACTCCCCCGAGGGGGTTTCCAGCATCAATGGCCTCAGAAACTAAGTAAGAGTCCTGTGCTCCAAATCCCTTGGATGTTGCTGCTATGGAAACAGTTACTGTGCTGCCAGACACCATACGCCTTCTCCCACTGGGCAACACAACTCTTACTTACTCCACTCCTGCTAAGGGTGAGTGTACACCCCTAGCGCTCCCTGCTGTCCTACCCACTCACACAGCTGCCCGCCCTGTCTCCCAGAAGGAGGTGACACACATTTTAACTGGACTTATATAGCATCACAAAAGGGACTGATCCTGAGCAACCTTCACAGTTGTAACAGAAAGATCATCTCCAGCGGTGGCTCAAGCCTGTAATCCCAGCACTTTGGTAGGCCGAGGCGGGTGGATCACGAGGTCAAGAGATCGTGACCATCCTGGTCAACAAGGTGAAACCCCGTCTCTACTAAAAATACAAAAAAATCAGCTGGGCATGGTGGCGTGTGCCTGTAATCCCAGCTACTCAGGAGGCTGAGGCAGGAGAATTGCCTGAACCCAGGAGGCGGAGGTTGTGGTGAGCCAAGATCGCGCCATTGCACTCCAGCCTGGGTAACATGAGTGAAACTCCGTCTCAAAAAAAAAAAAAAAGATCATCTCCAGTTTCCAAAGGCCACTCAAGGAGGCATCCAAATCACTTAGCTCTTAGCCTGCAAAACTATAGGAAAGCTGAGAAAACGGAGATGCTAGTCCATGTGGCCCAGCCAGCACCTCCCCAGAGTGAAGCTGGCGCATCCCTGAGGGCAGCGCAAACCCTCTAGAGGTGAAGCTCCTCCTGTAACCTTCCCCCGTCCTCTGGGCAGTGCACAGCTGGTGGGGTCCTTAGAAGATACTCACGGCGTCCCGGCTGGTGGACTTCATGATCTCACTTAGCCCAATGCACACGCCCTGCCTCTCGTCACTCTTCTGAGACCTCAGGCCTTCCTCAAGGATGGGGATGATCTCGGGGAGGATTTTCTCCCCTAACTTCCGCACAAGATCTCCCAATGTTCTCGCTGCAATCTGTCAACAGAGGTGAAGCCAGGAAGTAAACTCCCTGCAAACCCCAGGGCACCCAGAGGACAACTCCAGAATGAGGGCCCTGAAACCTCCCAGGCCTTGTCTGAATCACTGACTTAACTTCCCCGAATGCTCTTACCCATAAAGAGCCCCCAAATTTGCAAAACACTACCAAAAAATTCTCTCTGTTTCACACACACCTACACAATCTAAGAGCCAGCACCTTATAGATGAACAAAAAATTCATCATCCACTGCACAGTCAAGGGCCAATTTCCCTGGATGACTGAAGCCTTAACACTGTGCATTGGCTCAGCAGGAGCTGAATCTGGAACAAAGCGTTAAGGAAAAAAAACCTATCTTTCTGAGGCCTCATGCAAACCCTTCTCTAGAGCCAAATACAGTTTGCTTGCCAGAGACAGGGGTTGGAAGTAGGCCTAAGAAGATAAGAAGATGGGCAGAAATGATCACCACCCCGCCTGGGCACCTCCTCCAGGACCACTGACCCCTGTTTTTCTGCCCTGCCAGCATGCCGGCCTGATCTCATGTCACACTGCTCCTCGTCTCCTCACTCCAACTACACCAGCCTTGCTCAGCCCATACTGATGCCATATTGCTGCGCACCACGGGAACTCTGCATATCCCATCTTTGTATCTAAAGCATTATTTATTCCCTCTGTCTGGAATGGTCTTTCACCACATCCTCACCTGGTTAGTGATTACTTATCTTTCATTTTCAAGCATCATTTCTTCTCAGAAGTGTTTACTAACACAAGCCCATTCCTCCCCAGTAGGTCAAACACATCTATTATAAGCATTTGCAGTGCCACACAGCACTGGCCACAGTCGCATTTTACATCTCTGTGTGGTTATCTAATATCCATCTCCTCAACAAGACCGTTTCTAACGAGGATAAGGAGTGAGGCTGCCTTTCTTCTCCATTATATTCCCAGGTGCTAGGCCCCTGCTTAGCGCACAGTACATGCTAACAAATATTTGCAGAACGACTAAGTAAAGAATACAATGTTCCTCTGTTAGACAGGGTAGCTGGGTACTCTCCCAGACTCTGCAGACTCAGCGTTCTGGGCTCTGAAAGGAGGCACTGGGCTGCTAGTCCAAAACAAGACCCAGGAAACTCACCGTTCTCTTATCTGCACACGTGCTGGCTAGGAAACCCAGCAGGAGCCCAAAGAGAGTGGGTAGGATCTCACGCAAGGTGCGGGGGGTATTGGAGACAACAATCTTCCAGACGTGCAGGGACGCCTGCCGCACCACCAGCTGGGTGTCTGAGCGGCCCATGTACAGCCCTGCCAACACCCGGTTTCGCCGCTCTACCCCCAGGGCAGTGATAATCGCCTGCAGCCAGTGGAAAGGGACAGAGAACACAGAGTAGTAAAGCCTCTATGGCACAGGCATCAGGGCAAACCCCACCATCAGCACGGGCACGAAAGCCATCACTGGGCAGGCACCTTATTGGACTGAGCGGTTCCAAAGTTATCATCCTCGGAGGCAGTTTCTGTGGTCATTTTCCCAGTGACTCCTGAGATGTGAAACAGGAGATCCCCAAGGAGCTGAACAGAGCTGAACCTGAGAAGACGGCCAACAACACAGTCACACAGCTGCAAGGAGTGGGCTCGGCACAACTGAGCACTGCACAGGAGACGGAAAGAAGTGCACCCAAAATACTCGTGATGGTCATCTTGGAATGGGAAGGGTCACATGGTTTTCATTTCTTTTCTTTTTGAGACGGAGTTTCACTCATGTTACCCAGGCTGGAGTGCAATGGTGCGATCTCGGCTCACCGCAACCTCCGCCTCCTGGGTTCAGGCAATTCTCCTGCCTCAGCCTCCTGAGTAGCTGGGATTACAGGCATGCACCACCATGCCCAGCTAATGT